AGAACTAAAAAATAAATATTAAAAATTCTCTCTCTCTCTCTCTCTCTCTCTCTCTCTCTCACTCTCTCTTTAAAAAAAAAAAAGAAATATTTTTATAGTGCTTCATAGTTAAGTAGGGTTGTCAGATATCTTATCCCACTTGATCTTTACAACAGCCCAGTTTATGTTCAATATGAGTTATCTTTGTTTTTACACGTAAGGAAATTAGGGGCCAGAGAGATTGAATTATATGTTTAGAAGCAGAGAATAACAAGATCCAGTTTTTCCTGTTGAGACAGATGTTGATTCTCCTGTTTGACCATCATGCTGCTGCCCTCTAGTGATACCTAGCTGAGCTGGCCACACTACTGGCCTGGGGGCATATTCATATGTGGAATAGTGGTCATTCCTTGTGATACAGTGGACCAGAAACAACTCCTAGTTTACTTTAGGTTGGGTTTAGTAGATGCCTAAAATTTCCCAGGATGCACCTAGTGTGATTTGTCCTCCCCCAGTTGTCACTTGAAAAATCTGCACAAAACAGCACAGGGATGCTAGAGGTTGTCTGCATATGATGGGAAATAGATTAAAACATCCTTGGACATGTGGGGGATGGATGTTTGTGTGTGTTTGTGTGTGTGTGGTACAGAGGCTTGAACTCGGGCACTTGACCACATCCCCAGCCTGTTTTGTACTTAATTTAGAGACAGGGTCTCACTGAGTCGCTTAGTGCCTCACGGTTGCTGAGGTTGGCTTTGAATTCAAGATTCTCCTGCCTCAGCCTCCCAAGCTGCTGGGATTACAGATGTCTGCCGCTGCACCTGGCTGCCATGGGATTTTTAAGGATAATAAAAGATGACAGGTTTCACAACAATGACTGTTCTTATACACATAATAGTGGTTAAATGGCAAATTTTACGTTTTTATACCATAGTTTAAAGACATGTAAATAGCTACTAAATATAAAATGGTATGATAAAAATATTTGGTTAATGAAAAAGAAAAGGAATGAATAAGCCAGCCCATGTGACATGAGAAATAGCCATGAGTGCCGCATCAGTTACACTGCATGTCAGTGGCTTTGGTGCTCCTGTTGAGACACAGTGTGATGTACTAGATTAGAAACAATATGCTTTCAGAAAGGATATGCACATGTTAAATTTAGAGGAAAGGAGAAGTGTGTCATTCCAACAGTTAACAATATAAAGCTACCATTGGCCAGCTGGGTATGGTGGTGCATACCTCTAATCCCAGCAGCTCAGGAGGCTGAGGTAGGAGGATCTCAAGTTTGAGGCCAGCCTCAGTAAGTTAGTGAGACCATCTTAAAATAAAAAATAGGGGGGCTGGGGATATGGCTCAAGCGGTAATGCGCTTGCCTGGCATGCGCAGGGCACTGGGTTCAATCCTCAGCACCACATAAAATAAAGATGTTGTGTCCACCGACAACTGAAAAATAAATATTAAAAAATTCTCTCTCTCTCGGGCTGGGGATGTGGCTCAAGTAGTACTGCGTTCGCCTGGCATGCGTGCGGCCCGGGTTCGATCCTCAGCACCACATACAAACAAAGATGTTGTGTCTGCCAAAAACTAAGAAATAAATATTCTCATTTATTTATTTCCCCCCCCTCTAAAAAAAAATTCTCTCTAAATAAAAATAAAAAAATAGGGCTAGAGATGTAGCTCAGTGGTTGAGCACCCCCAGGTTCAATCCCTGGTACAAAAAAAGAAAAGAAAGCAAGATACCATGGCTATATTAGACCAAAAACTTCAAGGAAATAAAATTTACTAGGAAAAATATGAGACATTTTATAACAGAATAACATTAGACAAAAATACATAATGACTCTAAAAGTGATAACATAACTTTGAAGTATGTGGAGCATAAATTGGCAGAAGCTAAATAATACAGTCATTGATGCAGACATTAACCAGACTAGGTGACTTGATGAATAAGTAGAAAAAGTACACCTGAAATAAAAAAAGTTGAACACAAATAACAAGTCACCCCGCTAGGCGCCCTCACAGAGTCGCTGCTGGGTGCCTGTCAGCAGTGGGTAAGAGGAGAGAAAGTCACGGGTGAGCATTGCCGTGGGCAGGAAGTCGCAGTGTCAGACCAGGCAAGGATGGAAGGGAGACTCTGGTTTCTGCTGAGTGTAGTTAACTGTAGCAAATGGGGGTCAAGAAAGGGCTCATAAATATGAAGTTCAATATGACCACTTGCCACTCCCACCACCCACTCTTTAGCACCTTTTGCCTGCCACACTTGAGAAGCTCATTGGTAGCAGTTGCCACAGCCCTGCAAAATTAGCACCCACTCCTTTAGGCATGAGAAGCAGGTTGCAGTCTGTCCARCTCTCATGCATACTAAAGGACAGATCCTTGCTTTAAGCTCCAGTTTCCCTGACCCTGAACCTCTGTCCCTGATGCTACTCTATCACTGTTGCCCTTAGCTATTGCTCCTGCCATTTGAGCCCTAAAAGACCAGGTGAACTTTTTGACAAATGGAGACAGAAGAGAAGTTACTCTTGGCAGGAGGAGTGGGAATTATGTGAACAAAGGCAGGCAGAAAATGTGTGTCAGTGTCTGGACCAGAAGTGGGGGCCGTGAACCAGATTGGGCAGTAACAGAAACAGGTGTGCTGTCTAGAGCTCGAGCCTGGCCTCAACATAAAGGCAGAGGTGTTCAGAAGTGCCATGTGCTGCCCTCATAGTGTTGAGTTGAATTGGACATCTCAAAATTTCTCTTTTGTGAGTGTGGGTATTTATCATTACTTTAGAATATTGAGAAACTTTTGAAATGTAGTGTAGCTTTTCTTGAGTTTGAGTCTTCTGAATAGAGTGGCATTTACTTGAAAAATACAGTTCCTCTTTTAAGAAGTACAGTTGATAACTATAAGGGGGTATATTCATAATGACCATGCAAAAATATTTGATTGTGTGTGTTTGGGGGGGGTGGTTTAAAAGGCTAAAAATGAAGCTGGGGTTGTGGCTCAGTGATAGAGCGCTTGCCTAGCATGTGTGAGGCACTGGGTTCAATTCCCAGCACCACATATAAATAAATAAAAAAGGCCCATCAACAACTAAAGAAAAAAAGTATTTTAGAAGAAGACTAAGATTCATTAATGCCGGTTTTGTTCTTCTGTTAGAAATTCTTCATCTTCTTTCTTTGTCTTTTTCTTTCTTGCTGTGCTTGAGATTGAACCCAGGGCCCCACTTTTGCAAGGCAAGTGCTCTACCACTGAGATAAATCCTCAGTCCTGGAAAATCTTTTTTATGAAAAAAAAAATTGAGGATTATGGAAAATTCATGCTTTTGAACAAAAAGCTCCAGCAACTTTTAAGTGCAACTTTTTTTTTTTTTTTGTAATTTTGCACATAAACTGCTCTCTTGGTGAGGAGTAAGCAATAGCTTTTACTGTTTATCTTAAAATTTTACTTGATTTGAAATCATAAAACAAGCAAGCTACATACAGAGAAATCTTGTCTATGTCTGTCCTTCTCTATCCTTAACTGTCCACCTACTATTATTAGTTTATTATTCTCTTATTGTTCTGTTTTGCAACTGTTTGTATCTTTTATTCCCCCTTTCTATGGTACAAAGTGTGAGAATGCTGTGTGCACCCTGCTGTGCTTGGTCTTTTCTGCTGTAACAATGCACTCTAGTCTTCTCTAGATCCTTTGTGGGATCTTCCCCACTCTCTTCATGCTGCACAGAACTCTCTTGTGTGGCTGGGTACTCAGCCAGGCTGCCACTTCTGCACTCCTGAATCATGTCTGATTTTCTGCCTTTGCACACAGTGCTGACTGGTGCCCCATCGTAGCCATTCCTGCTGGTTTAGGTATTGCTGGTGTAAAGGCCAAATGCACTTGTGGTTTTGCCGGGTACCATCAGATCCCTCTCTTTGGGGTTGTACTATTTTGCACTTTGTCAGCAGTATGCAGAAGTGTTTATTTTCCCTGAGCTCCACCAACAGTCAGTTGTGAGGAATTTCACCAATCTTAAAGCAAGAAACAGTATCCTAATGTAGTATGAATTTGCACTTCTCTTTTTATAAATGAGATTGAGCATTTTTTAAAATGTTTTTAGGTCATTTATACTTCTTTTTTCTGTGAACTCCAAGACTGTTTATTTTGTTTATTTTTAAGAGACAGGGAGGGTTGTTGTGGCTCAGTGGTAGAGCTCTCGCCTAGCACGTACTAGGCCCTGGGTTCGATCTTCAGCACCACATGAAAAATAAATAAATAAAATAAAAGGTCTTGTATCCAACTACAACTAAAAATAAATGTAAGAAGAAAGAAAAGAGGGAATCTCTGTTGCCCAGGCTGTCCCTGAACACCTGCTCTTCAGTAGCAGCCATTACAGGTGCACACTATTACACCTGCTTTTTGCCCACTTTAAAACTGGACTGTTGTCATTTCCTGTTGGCACTTGGAACTCTGTATTGATTCAGAATCAATAGCCTGGTGTTTGAATCTGTCATTTCACTTACAGTGTTTTTTTCTTCTATCAAAATTTTAAAGGTTTTCATGTAGTTGAATTCATGAAACTTCAGGATTTTGGTATGTACTTTAAAAGGACAGGCAGACCTTTGGGTACATATGAAAGTTCTGTGAGCTTTTGCATAAGAAGTTAAGACCTCAGGTAGAATAAGAAAATGCATTTTTATTTTCAGAGGTGCTATGACAAATTGTTTTCCATTTCAGACTCTCTTGCACGAGATGATACATGCCTATTTGTTTGTCACAAATAATGATAAAGACCGGGAAGGACATGGTCCAGAGTTTTGTAAACATATGCATCGTATCAACAGCCTGACTGGAGCCAATATAACGGTACAAAGCCATATACTTTTAGTGATTTTCTTATTCAATAACTCCTGGGATTTAATTAAAAAGAGAGAATGAGGTAGAAGTAAGTGGTATTTCTGAGGACAGGAGGCCTGTAGTAGCTGATAGGCTTGTCTAGGCCCACATAGTAGAGTGGCCATGTCCTCTGATCACCTGCTGTAACCATTTAGGCAGTCAGTGAGGCTGCAGGACCTCTTCTCTGAACTCTCACTCATGAGGATCTTGACTTTATTCCTCATAACAGGCTCCTCCTTGAGTCTGTCCTGTAGTCGGCCACTTCTGTGCCCCTTTTGATTCTCATCTCTACACAGACTTGTAGGAGGTAGGGTCAGGCGCCTGGGTTCAGATCCTGCCTGGCTACCCCGTACTTATCTGTGTGCCTGCCTGATTCTTCTCTGCCTCACGTTACTCACGTGCCAGCRGGGGTCATGGCAACACCTTGTTGTTGTATCATGGGGAGGAGAGAGGATCACAAGAAAGCACAGGTGAAGAGCGTGGGCCTGGCCTGAGCGCTGGTAAGGTCAGTGTGTCAAGCCTTCCTGGTCTTTGTTCTGCTTTCTTCTTCCGCACACTGGATGGTTTTTACTCATCTCTGTGCACATGAGTCAAGTGTGTATAGGTGGTTTCTGAAACATTAACTTTTGTAGGGATGTTTTTGTGGTTTTGGTTTTTTCCAAACTTTTTTTCTAATGTCAGATTAATCTTTTAGTTCAGGAAGCATTAAATTAACTGCTGTTTCCCATTAAAATGAACTTTTAAAAATATTTTTTTTTGGTCTGGGTGCAATAGTGCATGCCTCTATTCCCAGCGGCTCCAGGGGCTGAGGCAGGAGGATCATGAGTTCAGAGCCAGCCTCAGCAAAAGGGAGGCGCTAAGCAACTCAGTGAGACCTGTCTCTAAATAAAATACAAAAAAGGGCTGGGGATGTGGCTCAGTGGTCATATGCCCCTGTACACCACCCACCGCCCCCCCCAAAAAAAATTGTAGATGGACAACATTTCTATTTTTATGTGGTACAAAGGATTGAACCCAGTACCTCACATGTGTTAGGCAAGTGCTCTGCCACTGAGCTATAGCCCCAGCCCTAAAATGGACTTTTGAAAAGAAACTAAATATAGGAGCTTGTCTTTTCAAAAATAGAATTTCTCAAAAATCTCTGGGGAAAAAAAAGAAAGACTGCTTCTATAAGAATTTCTTGAATTGTCAGTTTGCTTTCTGAGTGGTGACAGTGTTCTCTGCCCAGGTGTACCACACCTTCCACGATGAGGTGGATGAGTATCGGCGACACTGGTGGCGCTGCAACGGGCCCTGTCAGCATAGACAGCCATATTTTGGCTACGTCAGACGCGCAACCAACAGGGCACCCTCTGCTCATGACTTCTGGTGGGCCGAGCACCAGAAAACCTGTGGAGGCACCTATATCAAAATCAAGGAGCCAGAGAACTACTCAAAAAAAGGCAAAGGCAAGGCAAAGCCAGGAAAGCCACCAGTGCCAGCTGTGGAGAATGCAGGTACTTTATGAACCCCTCTGCCCCGCGCTATAGCCCATAGGGTCTTTTCTCCTGGAGAAGCTTTCAAGTATGCACTGAGGGAAAACTCCCGCTATCCTAGAAGTAGTGGTAGGAAAACATGCTTTGCTCTATGTGGAAGTGAGTGAAAGTAGAATAGTTTCCACTGATGATGCTGGAGGGTAGAGTCTCTTTTCCTGTCTTGGTTTAGCACTGAGTTGTTAGGAAACAGAAGGCAAAAAAGATTGTCAAAGTAAAAGTAAGCAAAAGAAGAGTAGTTGTCCTGATCATAGACTCTGGTCAGTTGGGTTCTCTCAGGTCCCTTCTGATGTGAGTATGATCCTGGCGGGGATGGGAAAGGAACCTGACATGTTGGCTGTACTTCACCCTGAAGACATGCCCTGTTCTGAAAGCTCTTGCTCAAGTTGGGCTCCTTCCCTTGGGAAATTACCCAGGAGGACAAGCTGTGGAAGGGTTTGTGTGTGGGCCGATGTCTCCTCCTATGATTGGAAGGAAACATACCAAGGTAGCACGTCTTCCCTTCTAGAGCCCAACAGAGAGGAAACCAAGTTCTTTTCAAGGTCGGTGGTTGTTCTGTAGCATGATGGGATTCTTAAAAAAAAAGAAAGAAAACATCCCTACAAAAGTTAATGTTTCAGAAACCACCTATACACACTTGACTCATGTGCACAGAGATGAGTAAAAACCATTAGCTTCTCAGAATTTAGTAAAGGGAGTGGCTAAACTCAGGCTGGGCAGTAGCTGGTCCATGTGGATGCCAGTGTTTATCCTCTTTGTTTTCTCGATACCAGAGCTCTGGCTTCCAAAGATTATTCTTTTCCCATGAGTAGGTAATTATTAATTCTACATGGTTCTAAGTTGGAATGAAATATTTCTTTATTTTAAGACTCATCCATTAGTTTGGTGTTTAGTACTACATTAATGTTGAGGAAAATCTGTGTTATCTTTGCAGATAAGCCCAGTAGAGGTGGGGCACAGCCGTTGGTCCCTTTCAGTGGGAAAGGCTATGTTCTTGGAAAAACAAGCAGTTCACCTATGCCTGAGAAAGCCATTACCTCGCATTCCATCAATGAGACCAAAGATGTTTTTAATCAAGGCCATTCAGCAAACACCCTAAGGTCTGATTCCAGCATTGAAGTGAAATTTGAACAGAATGGTTTAAGTAAAAAATCATCTCATCTGGTCTCCCCTGTTGTCAGTACCAGTACCAGTCACCAAAGCATCCTGAGCAACTACTTTCCCAGGGTCTCAGTTGCCAACCAGAAGGCTTTCAGAAGTGGGAGTGGATCTCCAACAGCAAATGGGACCTTTGGCGACATCACTAAACACTCTGTCTCTTCTGGCTCTCAGAGAAGGGTTCCAGCTTCTAAGATGCCCCTGAGAAATTCCTCCAGAGYGAAGACATCAGCATCTGCAGCTGTAGCCGGGGGTGGGGTTGGGTCCCAAGAGAGATCCCCAAGCAAACGGCCCAGGCTGGAAGACAAGACTGTTCTTGACAACTTTTTTATCAAGAAAGAGCAAATACAGAAAGGTGGCAGTGATGTGAAGAGTAGTTCACACCCTGAGGCTGCAAGTCAGAGTTCCAGCAGCTGCTGTGGTCAGAGCCAGCTGGTCAGCTGTCCAGTTTGTCAGGATGAAGTTCTGGAGTCGCAGATTAATGAGCACTTGGACTGGTGCCTTGAAGGTGATGGCATCGGAGTCAGAAGCTGAGAAGCTTCTGTAAAGGCGATGAGTCTCACTTGTTACGTGTGACCTTAGGGACCACCGCCAGCCGTGGGGGACTCTGGGTGACACCAAGCCTGTGGTTAGCACAGTGTTCTGTTTTACTCTAGGTGGAGGTCTAAAGTTGGGCTCGGGAGCGCATGCCTGTAGTCCCACTACAGAGAGCTGAGATGGAAGGTAGCTGTGAGTTTATGAGTTTGAAACCAATCTTGGTGACGTGGTGAGACCACCGTCTCAAAAAAAAAGTTTACATCTTAAGGTGCTGGGTTTACTCCTGCCTTACCTACATTGTGGTCCAGAGTTTGTTCTGCCTATGCAGTTTTAGATATTTTTGTTCTTTCTTGCTCTTGAAGGCTTTAAAATCTATTAATCTTTATTTATATGTTTTTATCAAAATATCTGTCTCAGGAATGCTGTCGGGTTTTGGTTAAGTTAAAACTCACTTCCATAGCACCAGATGTGCCAAAACCTGGATGACGTAAAGGTACAGAGTTGAGTCATTGTAGGGTGCTCAAGTTTAGGGTTTTTAAACAATAGGATATAAATTTTTGATATTTTATAAAGAATCTATCTGTTACAGCTTTACTAAAAGGTAGCAGATTGGTTAGATAAGGAATATTATAAAATAAATTTATTTTGGAATATTACTAGTTTTATAGGACAGATTTTATATTGAGTTTAGCTTCTCAGAGTTTAGTAAAGGGAGTGGCTAAACTCAGGCTGGGCAGTAGCTGGTCCATGTGGATGCCAGTGTTTGGAACCATCATAACAAAAAGGGTGCCATTGGTGCACTTGGTTTGTTCCTTTTGCAGTGTTTCTCTTCCTGTTCCTGCTGCGGTGCAGATAGCTTCTGTGTCAGTTGCGTTTGTCTCGMAGGATACCTCTGCTATCAACATTCACTTGGCCTCGGAGGTTCACTTTTCTTGGTTCTGAACTCTGGTGGTGTGATTTGTTCCTGGTCAGGTTCCAGGAGTCTTGCAGGCCAATCCAGGTGATRTTTACATAGAATTCACCAGTTCACCATTCCCATCACCACCAGAGGCTGCTTCTTGTGGTGCCGCCTGCTCCTCAGGCAGCACCCACCACCTTCACTGTCCCCAAAGGTCACCACTGTTTCCACCTAAGGTTAGCTCAGCCTGTTTCTGAAATTGATGAAGAAGAGGTGGTATTGCTAAGTGTGGGGCTCCCCTCACTGCTCCCGAGTGTATGCAGGTTTCCATCCACTCCAGCATTAGTAGGATTCTCAGTTTGGAGCCATTGTGAATGGTGCTGCTGAACACACTCCTGCTCCTGTTAGTGTGCACATGGTCGTGTGGCTCTGGGGAACACTGTTGGGGTGCACTCCTCCAGCAGTGCAGGAAAGTTCTTAACTGGTTTTAACTCTTAACTGGTTTACTCTTAACTGGTTTTGGCCTGCCCAAGTGTTTATATGTCTTAAAGCATGAAGTTAATCGGTATTTAATAAATATTTATAAATGGCTGTTGGACTCTGTTGCTGAACACTTGCTGGTGGGCTTTCATCAGTTGAACAAGTTATATGCAATAAAACACTTTTGGAGCAAAACTGCTCAGAGTTCTGAGGCTGTAAACTGAAGAAGGGAGTTGAGGAGCCAACAGCCTCCTTGGCGACGCAGACTGGCAGAACAGTCTTGACATCTTTTGCTAAGTGCTGTGACAAGTTCTGCCCGGTGTGGTGGGAAAACCTTAGGAACAGTGAGCATGAAGCAAGACTTGAGGCCCTTGTCCTGGAGCAGACAATTCAAGTGGAACCTGGGTCAACCTGGAGGTTAAAGGGTGGAAGGGGCCTGCAGAGAACGCACAGGCATGGAAACAGACTAGCAGGGTGTTCTGGGGACTGCAAGCTTTGGGATGCAGCTGGGATAGGAGGGAGGGGCAAAGTGGCAGGAGAAAGAGCAGATCTAGCTCCAAGTTGCTAGGGAAGCGACTCTGCTTCTCATGCCATCCTGTGGTTGTGGTCCCTTGACCAGGTGGGCTTGGAGAGGCCATGCCTCAGCCAGGGACAGGCTAAGAAGCCTGGGTGGAGGAAGGCAGAGGCAAGAGGAGGTCAGSATAGTGAGGCTCATGTTAGGTCAGTGGCAGGGCCTGGGATGACAGGAGTACCTGCTTGGCTCCCTTAGAATGAGGCATTTGGCCTGAGGTCAAGCCTGCACTTCCAGCTGTGTGAAAAGTGGAGGAAATGAGCACCCTCAGAGGTGGCTCCTCAGAGCAGAGTCACTCTCTGTTTCTCATTTTTCCCTTTCTAAAGCAAACTTGTGGCCTCACTAGCAGAGCTGGTGATTCTGGCTCAGCCTCACAAAGGGGAGACAGGGTGGTGTTTTATTTCTACAAAAACTAGGGGTTTTTAAGTCAGTGTCTCACAATGTCCAGTTACATAGCTTCAGAAACGTTGGTCTGCTTTTGTAGACTGTAAATGCACACCCTAACTGAAAGGTGGGTGGGAAAATACTATGACAAAAACTTCATTCTGTCCCATTGTCCCAAAGCTTTATTTAAAAAAAATTTTTTTTTAGTTATACATGGGCACAGTATATTTTGTTTATTTTTATATGGTGCTGAGGATGGAGCCCAGTGCCTCACACAAGGCAAGCGCTCTGTCACTGAGCCACAATCTCAGCCCCTAAAGCTTTATTTTTTTTCAAAGTGTATAGAATTTTTAAATAAATCAGAATGTTTCAAAGTAAAACCATTGTTGTACCTTCCTACAAGACGCCTGCATCTGTGGCTCCTGCGGGTGGTGGACATAGTATGTGAATCTGGTCTTCCCGTCATTCTTGTTCTTGACGTTTTTGCCTTTCTGAGCAAACTGTAGTTGTTGAGCATCAGTATAGGCACCAGATAAACTGGAACTCTTCATATAACAATGACTGTAGGGTCCTAGAGCCGGAGAGGATAGGATGTGGAAATCTGCTTTGGCTTTTCTCTTGCAGTCTACCATTGGCCTTGAAAGTCACGTGGTCACCTGCTTTATCTTCACACCTCTAGAAGCAGATAGTAATACTAAGTCCTGAGCTCCCCAGGGGGTGAGCATTGTGTGACTAGAGCCCAGCACTGCTGCAGAGCAGAAGCCAGCCCAATGCTAACCTAGCCAATACATTCCTCCTACTAAGTCCCTCCTACTGAACATGGGGTGGTACTCTTCTCAGGTTACATTTCTGAAAAGCCTACAGCAAAGTGAAGCCCAAGCCACCTAAGAAACCTGTGAGCTCAGGGCAGAAGGAACTGACCAGGGCCCTAAGTCCTGTGAGGAGAGCAGAGGATGAGAGCAGGGCCTGTCGTCAACAAGAACCAATCCACAGGTACTTCCTCTCCACGCTTGCTTTTCACCTGTCACTGAACACCCGCGTCAGTCTAGAAGAAAGCAATTTCCCAGATAACAGGACAATACTGTGCTTCAGAGTGCTCCCAACGAGGTGGGCTTGCATGGTCTGTGAGCTGTAGTCCTCTTCCTCTGACCAGGCCTGATGCTTGTTGCTCTGGCCCACCCACATAGTCCCAAAGAATCCTGGATGTCAAGTACCTCCTTCACCCTTTCCTCAGAGCAACAGGTGTCTGTGAGGTCCCTAGTGAATGAGGGTCTCTCTCAAGTTCCAAGGTTATCACTTTGCACAAAGCATGCTGATGAAGGATAGGTGCATCTCCGTACCTTGCTGAAGGATGAAAATCTAGGTGCACTTAGGATATGCCAAGAACAAACCACTCCAGATTATAAGCATACCGTACACACCTAACTACATAAAAAATCTGTACTCACAATCAAGCGTGGTTTTTTAGACAGATTCCATTCTAGATAGGTTTCCTTTATGTGCATACCTTTAAAACAAGAAATATAAATTTGTGTGCACACGTGGACATTCATACAAATAGATAAGTGATTTCATTTATAAAGTAAGACGGACTTGTGCTGACTTGAGTTGCAGTTTTTACTCCCAGTATTTACACAGACCCCCCCTGGCATCAGCCCTGCGGATGGTGTTCAGCCTTGCCTTGACGGAACTTGCCAGGGTGCCCTGTGCATAGGTCATCCGGTTTCACGAGTGCAGTGCTGCCCCAGGGAGGAGGCTCAGCACATGACATGTGTCATTCTATTTTTTAATCCTTCCAACTATCATTGGCTGCTTGCTTTTCAGTGCCATTTATAACATTTTCAGTTGGATCTATTCCTCTGGCATCTTGTAGCTTCCTCTTATTTGAGATAATTCTGTCTTCAATTTTTTTGCTGACTTCAATCAATTTGTTTCCTGACTTCCCAAGAGTTTCTTATTTTGGTCCTTTTTTTTTTTTTTTTTTTTTTTTTGAGAGAGAGAGATTTTTGAACTTATAATTTCCTATTGTTTTTTGTTTGTTTGTTTTTTTGAGATGGGGTCTGACCATGTTGCCCAGGCTGGTCTCAAATGATCCTCCTGCCTCAGCCTCCTGAGGTGCTGGGAGTGCAGGCATGAACCACTGCTGGGCTTGAATTTCTCCCTTCAAGTGTTAACTTGGGTTTAACTCAGAGTATTCACCAGCCATGAATGTCATCTTGTTTTCTTCTTAGCCCTCCTCCTGCTCATTTTGGAAGCCCACTCTTCCACTTTCAGCAATAGCTGCAGTTCTCCACAGGTCTTGGGGCGTGGTCCCCATCATGGCAGGGCTCGATGAGATGCCCAGAGGTGGTGCTCTTTGGGTCAGGGAGGAGCTGGAGATAGAGCCTCTGAGACTATCCCCCTCCCAGATGCCATCTTCTGCACAGTTTCCTCCAACCTGTAAACTCCAAACCCCTATCTTTCATGCCCAGGGAGCCAGTATGCTCACTTTGGGATCTGACTTACCAGGACTTCTGTCACCTGCAGGGTGTGCTTGACCTGGTGGGTCCCAGATACGGCCACAGCCACTGCCCGTGCTTTCCTCTGCCTCACAGGTGTTGTGTAGTGCTGGCCTTGTGTATGACAGGAGGCACTGACAAGGAGCCAACTGGGCTGACAGAGGTGGGACGTGACAACTTGACTGCAGAGGTGGGACATGTGTCCTGCAGGAGGAAAGGACACACAGGGCTGAGAGAACAAGGGAGCTCTTGACCATATCAGCAGGCGTGAAATAGCCACCGAAAAACTGGAAAACAGATGCCCTCCAGAGAAGATGAGGACAGTGACCAGGGCAGGAACAGCAGGTTTAAACCGGCCAGCTTGTGACCCCACTCTGGAAAGCATGAGAGCAGAGGGGGTAATGAAAGACCTCAGGAAACACCCAGTCAGCAGTGCCATGGCCGAGGTGCCTGTTCCACTATCTGGCTCACAGAAGCAGCAGGTCACACCTGGAACCGGGCTGCTTCAGATCTCAATCCACACAGAGACTATGGCTGCCACAGTGCCTCAGACTTGAGGACAGAGACTTCCAAACGAGAATTCTGTCCTCAGCCAAGCTCCAGTTTGGTGTCATGGCCAACAATGTCCATACCCACATGTGCTTGCTAGAACCCAGAGACCAGGGCCACTGCATCGAGAAAGGACACAGAGAGGGGGGGGCAGGGTCCTGACATGGAGTGGAGACAGGGCACTAGAGACCAGCCGTGCGCCAGGAGGAAGGGCGGCCGCCCAGCAGCACAGGTTGGGAGCCACAGGCACAAGTGAGAGGCGTGAGGAAAAAACGTAAGTCACAGAAGAAAATAGAACCACATGGCACACTGTCCCTCTGAGCTCCGAGCAGCACACCACCACAGGAACGCCAGAAGCTTGACTGACCCTGAGCACACCACCACCAGGTGGGGAGGCTAGGTGGCAGTGGCAGYGGAGGGTGGGCAGCGGAGGCCTCCTGTGTCTTCGGTGCGTCCGGATGGGGCCGGAGCGCTGGCAGGAGGCCTGTGTTCTCATGGTCCTGGTGGCACCTCAGCAAGCAATGCCTGGTCCTGAGATGCCAGGACAGAGTGAGGATCTCGTCCCTTAGCTCCTCAGGGCAAGCACCCGAAGGATCACTCAAGAGCTGAAACTTGTTTTCCTCTAAGAGTGAGGTCACTGTTGCTCCTGACCCTTAGAGAACACAGTCTAGCTACTGAAGTAAACTTACACAAGAGCCTAGCTTCCAGTCCCCGCTGTCCATCTCTTATCAGCTGTAATGAGCCAGCATTTCCAGTTCCTGTGCCTACTTTGTCTAAGGACATAGGGCGCRGGTATTCTATAGACCAAGGAGGAGCAGAACAGCTCTGGAAGACGCTGCCAGATCTCTGTGACGGGAAGACCTCGTACAGTGACTAACCCTCGCATCATCTGGTTGCAGCCACCTGGGCTCTGCCACCCACAGTATCACACCAGTGGGTTCTGCTCATAAAACCCTTTCTGGCTCACATGCACCTTCTGCACCTGTTGCCAGCCAGTAGGTACAGTGAGCAGCATGATGTGCAGGTGAAACACCTGGTGTCCCGGGCAGAAGCTGTGCCGACCACCACGGTCTGGGCCTGTGTTCATGATGTGAGGCCTGCAGATGGAGGCGGAGAGCCAGCGTAGCCGTCTGTCAGAGGCGCGGTAAGAACACAGATGGTGCAGGTGTTTCCAGGCTGCAGCACTCGGGAAGTAGAGTGTGTGCTRTGCTCCAGTAATCCAGCTGAAAGCCCACCTGTAGAGACCTGTCTCAGACAAGGAGGCACCTGAGAGTGACAGCTGCTCAAAGCCCACCGACTCCGAGTTCTCCCTCTGCAGCTCTGCTGCCATGATGTTGGAGGGGCACGGCATCTGTTGGAGGCCAAGTTGTGCCAGGCACGAAGGTGCTTTGCACACTGTCTCATTCAGCTCTCACAAACCTCTGTAAGTCTGCTTGTTTTCAGATTATAAAAGGATCAGAAGGTCACACGATTAAGTGGCTGAACCAGAACTAAATAGATCCGTTGATCACACCACCTAATTCAATCAGTCTTCACCTCTAATTCATGTGCCCTCTCCACCAATCCACCCAGCTATACATCCTGGTACAGTTCTCCAAATACCCTAAGCTAAGCCAGAACATGAAAAAGCACCACACTAAGAACATCACGTGAGAGAGACATGGCAGGTGTATTGGCTCACTGCAGCAGGTGGTCACACAGCTACATTCTGCTACACACTCAGAAGCACACCTGAGATGGCCAGGGCATGCCTGACACCCCTTCCTTTTGCAGCCAAGTGTGACACAGACTCTCAGCAGTGCTGAGCACACTCCAAGGCTGAGATTCCAGACAGAATGGAACGAGGCAGAGTGGGAACGTTGCTAAGGCTGCTGGACTCCATGTCCACCGCTGTCTTCTCTTCCCTGTAGTCACCTACAAGAGGCATCCTGGACTAAGCTGGAGAGGTGTGAAGCACACAGCCGGCCCAGCCAAGGGCCCTCATGAGAACAATGCATGGTAGTGGGTTCAGAAACAAAGAGCTGCAGTGACAACTGAAATCTTTTTCAAGAACATTTATACATCTTTTTAATTAGATTAGCTTTACAAGCAACTCCAGCGTTCTTCATAATGAAACACTGCTTTTCAAATTACATGACTTTGTAGTCTATCCTGAAATTCTTTGCCTGCTATTGCTAAAG